ATATATATCTTTATCTTTTTTCATTTTTTAAAATGATGATAATTGAACCTTAAATTTATATGAAAGAAAAACAACATTAAGTCAAATATATTCTATATAAATCATTTAATATTTATTTATTATTAAAATCATTTTTAAAATAATTAAAATCACATTTAAATGAACAAGCTAGTTCAAACGGTTCAGTCAGAACTAAAAGTCTAAGTAGTTTGACCTCTGGTCCACTAGTTCATCCAAGAAGCATTTGTAATGGAGATTGACATACCAATGGAGTCATGCTATCAAATTCCTTGACAACATCTGTAAACTTTGTGACATCTTCTTCATCGATAGCGGAAGCAATTTCCTGTCATGGAAAACAGACAAACAAGTTTTCTGTTCAGAAAAATTACTACCATTTAAGGTAAATGGATCCTATAATATACTTACAAGTTTTCTGTTCAGAGGTAAGGCAGTAACTGGATATATCATGAATGCACAATAAGTAAAATTAGAATAAAAATAAAACAAATGGCAAACCATGCCACTACTGATAAGCATTTCCTTGGGATAACTTACAGCTAACAGTTTATATTCTCGTGTTCCAGAAAAAGTTGGATCCAGTTCCTGAAGAAAGAAAATGCATACATAAGTTTAATATAACAAAAGTTTAAAAAGTTAAAGGTTTTATCATGTCAAAAGGGCTAAAGTTCAACCTGATATCGTTCTAATGCATTGGTGATTGCAACAACATCACCTTTGCAAAGTTGACAAATGCCAGCATTAAGAAGATGTCCTTTAACTCCATACTTCAACAAGTTATTGGAAAGTGACTGCCGTGCTATATCTTCATAGATCTCAATGGCTTTCTGGTATCTGGAGAAATATCACAAGTAGAGCTATTAAAAATTTTGCCAAATTCTGTATTAATGTAAATGTTTTAGCATATTAAAACACCAACATTGATTACAAACCATCGACAATACTAGAAAACTATAAACAGTGTCTACAAGAAGTTGAACACGCTTACTGTTCTATCTGAGCAGCAAATTGTGCAACTTTCTGCTTGCATTGGTTGGCAGAAGTTGATACATCTTCATTTTGGAAGAAATCAGCTGCTTTTTCATAAAAATCAATGGCCTGCTCGATGTTCTGCTCAGACTCATGTAATTCAGCAATTTCCTGCACATAAAGAAGCACCCATGTCTATGAATAACTGCATGTACCATCACCATACAAAGTTATGGCCATGGATTTTAAACAACACTATAGGCTAGTTTAGTATTATTGCAGGGGAAAGAACCCTTAGAATATAAAACCATGTGTTGGAAAAGTGTTAAAACATATGTCAAAATTAAGTGTTTAGTATTGCAGTGAAAAAGGATTGTAAGGAATTAAAATGTGTAAAAAGGACATGCTTAAAATAATAAAAGTTTGTAGATGTTAAGATAATAATCAATTTATTCTAAAGCCAGCTTTCAAACCAAAAAAGCTTCATTTTCTTAGCTGTTTAATACTTTAGTTTGGGATGTCAAACCATGATTTTAAACTCAAAATCCATTTCTTTTACCATTTAGCATTGAATTTGCAGCAAATTATAACTTTTGACATTATAAGTTGTACCAAAAACACTGCTAAACGGAACTTATGGAAAAACACAAATGAAAGAAGTCTATGAGCCAAACAATATGAAAGGCGATCACATATATGTAAGCAATTACAATGAATGATAAACTCATTTTTCCCTTGAAAGATATGCATATTAATGGATAAACAATACCTTATAATACCTTGCAGCCATGCTGAGCCTTCCGATATCACAAAACATGTTCACTGCCTGTTCCAAGCAAGATATAGCCTCTGAAAAGGAACAAAATTAGTCGTGGGCTTAATGCAGTCAAACTTCCAGAACTTTTAGGAGAAACTATGCACTCCGTACTTACCCTTTGCATTTGTTTTCTTATAGCAATGAGCAGCATCGACATAAGCTTGAGCAGCTTCATGTTTGCTGTCTAACTATAGATATATAAAACAAAAGGGTCAAACTAAATCTTAAATCAAAGTTAATTACAGAGAACCAAACCGAAGGACTTACTTTCAAGTTACAATTTGCTATCTTTACATAAGTTGATCCAGCTTTGTTCCCTTGAGAAAAGAAAAACATAAAAGAGGTTAGAATTACTGCTTTCCAAGTAATCAATTTAATCAAATTTCAAATGCACATACTGAACTATAAAGTAATTAATCGATAACCCAATGTTAAAGAAACCCTAGATCTCATATTTTCTAACAGAACCAAAAGAATGATGCAATAGGAATTAGATTGAATTATAGAGTAATTCATCAATAATCCTATCTTAAAGTAACCCTAATTTTTACATTTTCTGAACTGAACTAAGACAATGACGCAAATGCATTTTCTAATTCCGATTGCGAAGAGTAATAATATAAAAACCATCGAGTGCGACCAAATCCTATTTTCGTTCGCTTCAATAGAAACAGTAATCAAAATATCTCGGATATTTCATTTCCTTTCAACCATTCTCCGATCAACATTTCGTTTAAGAGGAATGAACTATAGATTACAGTTTCTGGGTCCTAAAACTAGTCAGAAGATCCCGAAAGTTCCATTTTAAAAAAAATGTTTAATCCATCGTTTACTCAAGAAAAAAATATAATTATTTTTTCTATAAAAAAAAGTTAACATAAAAGGTTTGCAAAGAATTACAGGATTTGGCGAGCTTGAAGCAATTGGCAGCTTTATCAAAGAGCTCGGCAGCGTCTTCATGTTTGGAGCCAAACAAACCCCAGCCGCTTAGCTTTTTCTCTGCTTTTTTTTCGAATTCTTCTCCTCTCGCCAGTTGATCTCCCATTCTTCTGCTTGATCAGAAATGAACTAAAAAAATGAGAACTCTTAAGATCTAAGCAAAATGAAAGGGAAAAAAAAGAAAACAAAAGGATATTTGTCGGGATTGACTTATTTCTTTCAAATAGGCTTAAACTAAAAATAAGTCCTTAAACTATGCTATATTTCTATTTAAGTCTCTGAACTATTTTTTTATCAAAATAAATCCTTAAACTATTATATGTAACCACTTTAAGTATCTAAAATGTTTTTTATTCAAAAAATACCTAATTTTGTGTGACATGTCAACATCCCATTGGCCAAAAAAAGTTTCTAACTAAAAAAGTGACTAGACTTAGAATGATACATACAATAATTTAAGGATTTATTTAAACCAAAAAATAATTTAAAGACTTAAAATAAAAAAGTCATATTTTAGGGGCTTATTTTTACTTTAAGCCTTTCAAATATCTATGCTTTCCCCTAATAAGTTGGCCTAAATTACACCACAAAGTCACTCTTTATTAGTAAGTTTATAATTGAATTACTCTATTTTAAATGATCAAAATCAAATCACTCAATTGATTGTAAGAATCAAATCATTACACCATTAAATCACAAATAGATTATTTAATTAGATACATTTACATTTTAATCACCCAATTATAAATAAATTTATATTTTGATCACTTAAGTTTCAATTACTTATCAATTCTTTTAAGATTTTTTTGGTAAGTTTGTGTAAGATCCATTCTTTATTAACCTAATGTTCCTCTTAAATTAAAGTTCAAACATTTTATGCTTCATGAGTATATACCTCTGATATCCGGAGATTATCTCTAAAAACCTTTTCATTTACTAAAGTTTACGACTAGCCTACATCCCCTAAATATAGTCTTCTAGTCAACTACAACACATAGATAAGACCTCTAACAAATAAGTCATTTGATAGGCCTATGTGATGCGATAGAACAAAATCCAAAATCTTATTATTAGATTTACATAGTATGTTGACCTACAAATAGACATAATAACCCTACGGTTGACACGCACACTAAAAATTACTATAAATACTCTCAATCAAGATTGGAGTAAATGATGGAGCAAATGAAACATGTCAACCTTCTTTCTTATTTATAACGACAACCCTCTTTCTCTCTTTTAAACACCTGCCAGCTAACGACTACTCTTTCATCGATTACGATTTTTTACTCAAATAAGGAAAAATAAGCCTAACGACCAATAAATCAAACTTATTTCCATCAACAAATATATAAAGAGGCAAAATTAAAAGACATACTTAATTTAAGGAAAATGTTAAAAAAATATCATTATGAATAAGATAAATTAATATATTTTAATTTCATTTATGAAACTATTTTCTATTGAATAACATTAATTATTTGTTGCCAATAAAACTATGAATGTAATTGTAAAAGTTGAGGTAATATATATTTAAGTTTAAGTTTCATCTTACATACAATGCTTTTAGAAGTATTAAATTAAGTAAAAATTTAAAAAATTTAATCACTAATTAAATCGATTTATTTATCGGAGTAATTAATTGAATTAAATTAATTTCAGTTAATTCGATCTATTTTTCACCCCCACAGAGTTTAGTATACTTTTAATTTTGGTTCAAATGCAAACAATACATTACAATAGTAACGTGGACTAAATTGAAACAAAAGTTTGACAAACCAATGTGCATGGTTATAAATTAGAAAAAATATTGGACTAATTTGGCAAAGACATATACATTTAATATTTATTGTTATTAGTTTTGGTTAAATGATTAATTAATTACTTTAGATTTTTTTGATTAAACTACTTTAGATTTGAATGAACAGATAATTTTAGTGATTAACCGTTCAATCAAATTATTTCGATTTGATTGGTTAATCAGTTTTAACAGAATTTTGTACATCTGTAATAAGTTATATTTTAATTATGAGTGAGTTGTATGCTAAGATTTTAGTTCATAGTTACTTTCTCTGGTTGTAGCTATAAATCCATTAATTATTTTTTAAATAGATTTTGTAATTCACCAACACTTAACCGGAGCCCCGATCCAATCCATCCTGCTCCAGCCTTTTGATTCGGGTCATACACAAAACAACCGGATCCGGCCCGGATCCAAAATCCAACCCAGCAAGTTCCAAAATTCTCACATACACATTTCGTACCGATCTTTCCATTTTCGTCTCGTTTCGAAACAAAGCAGAATCGCGCTGTGCTCACGCGCTCTCTCTCCGACTCGCTTCAATTTCACGATCTTCTCCTGTCACACTTCGAAGTTTAGACGACGGCGTTTGGTTTCGTCTTCTCCGATCAGGTTTCCCTTTCACATTTCTACTTCCCCATAGCTTTCCTCAGCATTCCGTCTTCAGATCAGATCAACTTTTACTTGAATCTCTGAAAGCTTTTTTTAGCTTTTCTGTTTTAGCTTTCATAATCTGAAAGCTTCTTTTAGCTTTTATAATATTTAGCTTCTCAAACTATTTTAAAACTTTTTTTGTCTTTAAATTAGCTTTAATTAAGCTAAATATCTTGATTTAGTTGAAAAGTTGTTTTTAATGAAGTAGATCTGCCAATAATTAAGCTGAATCAAATTTTTATTATTGCTTCTAGATTAAAATTTGCATGTTTATTAAAATTTTGTATTCTAGAGGCTGATTACCGTTTAATATTTGTATATAGATTTTGTTTTTTGGTGAGCAGTAATTTGAATAACATGGAAAATGAAAGAAGGAACAATAATAAGAGCGATGATTCAAGAATGCGAGGGTTTAGACCTAGTTTGAGAGCAATGATGTTTGTGGTTGCGGTGATATGGATTGGTGTAGCTGCTTTGTATGGTTTATTGAAGCCTATATCAAATGGTTGTATTATGACATATATGTATCCGACTTATATCCCAATTTCCACAATGGAGGGCGGATCATCTGCAAAATACGGGTTGTATTTGTACCATGAAGGTTGGAAAAAGATTGATTTTGCGGAACACTTAAAGAAACTCAATGGAATTCCCGTTCTTTTTATTCCGGGCAATGGTGGTAGCTACAAACAGGCAAGGTCCTTCTTTTACCACTGTTGTATTAATAGTGTGCTTCGTTGTTGTCCATGCTAAAGAACTCATTATTATTCCATTCTGTTTCCGTTTGTGAATGGTTCTAAAATGGTGTACAGTTCACAACTTTGGATGTCTTTCAGGTGAGGTCTTTGGCAGCTGAATCTGATAGAGCTTATCAAGGGGGTCCTCTTGAACGCACATTCTATAGAGAAGCTTATCTAGCTTCCAAGGAGGGAGGGAATGTGGATATGGCTGACATCCAATTACCGAATCAATATGCTAATAGGCTAGATTGGTTTGCTGTGGATCTTGAGGGTGAACATTCTGCAATGGATGGTCGGATACTTGAAGAGCACACTGAATATGTAGTATATGCTATTCATCGGGTATCACTTTTATCATTTGAACTTGTTTATTTTTTTTATAGAAGTTGGAGGTCTCATTAAAAACTCCCTTCGTATTCGTTCACATACTAAAGGTATGTTAACGAACATTGGAAGGAAGAAAAGAGTACCTCAAATTTTATTGATAAAAAACCCGATACAAAAGACACCATGGAATATCCTCTCATGGTGATGTACACCATTACAACAAACACCTTAACCTCATATAACCTCATCCAAAGCCACAGTCCAATCACCTTACTTCTAATTACACCACCAGCAGTAGGAATAAAACGGCGCAACAGAACATAATACAATTAAAAGCAACACCTACAACTATATAGACTAAAACAACCACAATTGAAGATAAACAAACTGAATCTTTGTTGCATAAGTGAAAGATGCAAGTATGCCTGGTTTACGCATACACACACATGAAATGAGATCAATGAAAAATGTTATAGCGAGAGCAAGGTTTAACGCGCATGTCTGATCTCAAATTTCTTTTTATTATGTTCATATTTAATGAAGTTTTTTTCAACTACCTCAGTTTGGCATAGAGAGTAAAATGGTGAAGCAATATCCTATATCACATCAAAGATTGTGATGCTTGTTTGTTTGACAGGGTCATACTACCAGGCCATAGAAAAATCAAATTATTTTTGTCAACTTTATTGTTGGAGGTTCTGTGACGCTAGCCCTATTCTTGCAGGTTTTGGACCAATACAAAGAATGCCGTGATGCCCGGGGAAGTGATGGTGCTGCAACAACTGGTAGCTTGCCGAAAAGTGTCATATTGGTTGGCCACTCTATGGGTGGTTTTGTTGCTAGAGCGGCAACAGTCCACCATCGTCTCAGGAAATCAGCTGTTGAGACAATTCTAACTCTTTCAAGTCCCCACCAGTAAGATCGTTGTGGATTATTGTCTATCTTTTTGCATAAAATTTATTGTTTTTCCCTTTAAGAATATGCTATTTCTATCCAGGTCACCTCCTCTCGCGTTGCAACCATCATTGGGTGACTACTATACAAGTATAAATGACGAATGGAGAAAGGGGTACGAGGTTCAAACCACTCGAACTGGGCGTTATGTATTTGGCCCAAAACTATCCAATGTCGTCGTCATTTCCATTTCTGGTGGTTATAATGATTATCAAGTATGTCTTCAATTTCCGTTCTGCCATATAGTTTGGATTAGGTTTTTTCTTGTATAAAAAGAGAAGGGTGCTTTATGACTTCACCTTTAACATATCTTGTTTGAAATGTTGAATCCTGAGTCTTGACTACCTGTACATATATACATCCTGTTCTCCTTTCTGGCTACAGGTTCGCTCAAGATTAGAATCCCTTGATGGTATTGTGCCTCCCACTCATGGATTTATGATAAGCAGTACAAGCATGAAAAATGTATGGCTATCTATGGAACATCAAATTATTTTATGGTGTAATCAACTCGTTGTGCAAGTAAGTTGAATCTCCCTTTCTAGACTGCTTCTCTCTTCCTCTATCCACTTTTGGATTGTTAGGTTGGGAGAGGGATTTGAACTAGAAACCTTCATTTTGGTTGTAACGTGCAACAAAAATTGAGGCATTGTTTCAGCATTTTATAGCGTTTCTGTTCTTGACATGTTTAATGTAAATGTCTCTTGTAGATGTCACATACCCTGCTTAGTTTGGTAGACTCCAGAACTGGTCGGCCTTTTCCTGAAACTCAAAAAAGACTTGCCATATTCACAAAGATGCTTCACAGTGAAATTCCGCAAAGTTTCAATTGGATGCTGCAACCTCAGTCATCTTGGTCTGCTCGTGTTCCTGCAAAGGATGTAAAAGACACTGCTGGTATTATCTGCCTATTAGGACATAAATATTACAATTTTATTTTTTATGAAAACTTAGGAATTCTTTTCTTAAAATTCATCTGCATGATAATTATCCTAGCCATTAAGAAGAATTTACTATCACATGATTGAACTAGAACTGCTTCTTGAAATGATAGTTCAAATATGATTCCAGATGATTGTAGTTTATGACATGCTATGTTATGTTGCAGGTCCACAAGTGCATACCTTGCCTGGCTGTCCTAGCAGTTTTCATTGGAATGATGATATCCTTGAGAGGGATTTGTATATTCAAACAACAACTGTCACCATATTGGCCATGGATGGGAGAAGACGGTGGTTGGACATACAGAATTTGGTGAGCCTTACGTCACATTCAAAGAATGCTTTGCTTTTTCTCTCAATGGATTTTTTTTGTAAGCAATATCTACCCTTCTATTGCACAAATTTTATTTCCTCGGGGTGAAAATTACTTGTAAGCTGCAAAACTTTACCAAAGCTGCTCCTCTGTTGCTTGTTCAGCCTCACAATGTATTCTCTTACATTTAGTTCTATGTCTAGGGGGCAAATGGAAAAGGCCACTTCATATTTGTTACAAACCTTGCTCCTTGTTCTGGAGTAAGAGTGCATTTATGGCCCCAAAAAGGGAAATTGTCTTCAGACTTGCCTGCCGGTAAAATGGTTCTGGAAGTGACATCAAAGATAGTGCAAATTCCTGCAGGACCAGCACCACGGCAGGTATGAATCACTGTACTGTTTGTTCTGTGAATCTGTTGTGAGTTTGTTGTAGGTTTCTTGCATCTTTTACATGTTAAACTGGAATAGTCTTGGGGAATTTCAAAGTTTTAATAACAGATTTTGTTAGTAAATTTGTTTGCAATGGAGCAACAACTTATTGAGCCTTCTGATTTCAACTGTAATTTGGTTGACATTGACTCTCCTGTTTTCATATACATTGCTACCAGGTTGAACCTGGCAGTCAGACTGAGCAAGCACCTCCATCTGCTGTACTTCATTTGGCTCCTGAGGAAATGCATGGCTTCAAATTCCTGACCATCTCAGTTGCACCTCGTCCGGTAACCTTCCTTTTACAACATCAACTACATATGGACTAGGGTTGTTTTTGGGAATTTGCTTCTCTCTATGCCTATTCATCTTAAGGATTCACCTCTATGAGAATACATTATGAAACTATCAGATACTTTTGATTGGTTAACTGTTGATAACACTTTTTAATCACTTATATTTTCTTGTTCTTTTCCAAATTTCAACCTATGGTGAAGCCTATCAAACTTCAGCCTATTCGGAAGATTAAATCTTAGTATGCATGTGAAAGATGCTTATATTTTTTGTATGCCAAAATGCTAGGCTTCTTTCTATTTTATTTTTTTTCTGTTCCTGTACATTTTAAATGGTTGTGCTGCTCTCTCATTTAACATATAGTTCAAAATAATTTGAGTAATTGTGTGTAGTGACTTTGTGGTTCTCAGACTATTTCAGGCAGGCCTCCACCAGCAACTTCCATGGCAGTTGGGCAGTTCTTTAATCCAGATGAAGGGAAATTAGAATACTCTCCTGCATCAATGCTTCTATCAATACACTCCTATAAGGTGAATGTCTGATATGCAGCCATCTAGCTTTCTAGGGTTTGAAACTTGTGCAAAAACCTGTTTACTCTAATTTCACCCAAAAAGACAACTGAAATTTGTTGGTGAATGATTTCAATGATGTGCAGGATATCTTCTTGAAGGAGGACCACCCGCTTGCTTTCAATCTGTCATTTGCAATTAGTTTAGGCCTTTTGCCTGTTAGTTTTTCTTTGAAAACTGCAGGCTGTGGAATTAAAGATTCCGCTCTTCTTGATGAAGCTGGGGATACTGGAAACACTAGTAAGAATCTTAATGTCCTTTTGTTTTAATTTCAATCCTGAAATTCTAGAATTCTTTTTGGTCACCTCATTGTCATACTTACTGATTAACCATTAAAATTTTGTCATGATCTATGATTGCTGAATATATTCTGTTGTTACTTTTTCTTGTTGGCTTTTAAATAGTTTTCATACTTTTTATTCTTTTCAATTAAAAATACTGTACTCATTAGTTTTCCTTTCTCTTTTCTGCTGACCCGTCTAGAGCTTTGCAAACTGCGGTGTTTTCCACCTGTAGCACTTGCTTGGGATCCTACATCAGGTCTCCATGTATTTCCTAATTTATACAGTGAAACTCTTCTTGTTGATTCTTCCCCAGCACTTTGGACTTCTACTGGGACTGAGAAAACAACTGTTCTTTTACTGGTAATGGCCATATCTTTCCTTGCATGCAAATGTTGCTTCCATTTCGAAATTCAGTTGTTCTATTCTTAAAGTTTAAAGCTCTTTTTCTTCCTGATACCACTGCAGCTTGACCCTCATTGTGCATATAAGGCAAGCATAGATGTTTCTGTAACCACCGCAGCTAGCAGATTCTCACTTCTATATTTTTCACAGGTGCTCCAATATAATCCTCATACTTATTATTTTCCTCCCCTGCCTTTCAATTTAGATGCTAGTTTCTATTAGTTAAAAAATTATTAGAAAAATATTGTGAATGCTGCTTTTGGAATGCTCTAGTTGAGTTCACTTGGGTGAAGATATTGTGCAATATAAATATATTGGTATTCCAAATGTTATTATCTGGTTCCTATCTTTTGATAAGTCACAGTGCACTCCTTGACATTGAAATTTTGTGCTGTAGTGTGCTACCTATAACAATTGTAAATTCGGAGGTCATCCTCTAGATTATTGTGACAATAAAAAACTATAATGTAAAAATGTGGGAGCAGTGAATAGAAGCTGTTCATGGTGAGATTCTCAATATGAATCAGATATTTGAGATATCTGTATAAATGAGTCTGGTGATGAAACGAGTGGAAGCATGTTATATAACAGTCAATAGTGTTATATAACAGTCAATAGTAGTGGATTTTTAGGCATATAAACCCTCATTGTGTAAGTGTTCGTATTATATTGTTCCAAAATTGTAAAATAAAGGATTTTCCATTATTTAAGTTTCTTGTTCTGAAGCAAATTGATTGAAGGCACCCTCCCAGTTTGTGCATATGATTGAAATTATGTATATTATGGTTATCTCTTGGGACTTTTAGTAAAGAGAAAGAAAAAAAGATGCCATATCAGATTCTAAAGAATCTTCTGCTGTTGTTTCCATTTATATGCTATTTGCACTCTATGATACTTACATGACTTTCTAATACAGATAGTTGGCTTCTGTGTCGCTGTTGTATTTTTTGCTCTGATGCGACAAGCACATGCAAGGCCAATTCCTTCTATACTGAAAGCTGTGGAGTACAACTTAAGAATACCATTCCCATTTTTGCCTTTTGTTCTTGTGCCCATTTTGTTTTCCATGTTCTTTTCCTTTCTATCATCTCAACCATTTCCTCCATTCTCTAGCTTTACCATTGTGTCTATAATTTGCTACCTGTTGGCAAATGGGATTGTTATTCTACTGATATTGGTGTCCCAGTTGGTCTTCTACGTGGCTGCGTATTTACATGTTTCCATAAAATCGAGGTCGGTTAACTCTTAACTTTCTTGTTGTATCATCTCCTGAATGTCAAGTTGATATATTTTTTGAACCATATATAAAGAATATTTGTATATATTTGAAGAAAAGAATGAAAATAAACTTGAACAGGTTTATTTTTTATTTTACTTCCAATTAGCATTATAAACTTTTTGAATTATCTCACTTTTTGATAGAGTTGCGTGTTTTCTTATAGATAGAAATCATATGATAGTCATTTCTATTTTGATGTACTACTACCCTGTGGTTAACTAAAAGGTTTAATTGATTCCAGATGGCAACTATGGGAAGGAAACTTTGGCCTTTTGTTTCTTCAGTGGTTTATGAATCTTTCTTCGAGGTTCCTTTCATTAAAGGTAAACTCTTTGCAACTATCTATATTCTATACCGACTTTGCTCGGATCTCTCAAATTATTTGGATTCATTATCAAATTGCATATACCAGAACTTTAGAAGTATAATTCTTTTTTTGATAAAATTAGAAGTATAATTCTGGTTAAATAGAATATTTGCTTTTCCATAATTCTATATAAATGGAGACCATGTCAACAATACCACCTCCAACCTCATTTAAGTCACGTTTCTCTCTAATTTTCACAATGGAAAGGTACCACCTTTATGTGAGACTTGTAAGAATGAATAATCAAAGTCATATCAGTTGATTATTACTATTTCCGGTAGTTGATGATTTATTGTCATTTGTCTTAGTTTTATCTTCACAATCAAATACTATATATCAAAATAATGTGTATTTGTTATGTTGATATTGATTTACTTTGGAAATAGGTGGTAAGGGTTCTAAGAGCCAATCCGTTATTTGTTCCGATATCAGCTGCAATTATTTTGTCGACGTTTGTGCATCCGGCGCTTGGCCTATTCATACTGCTCTTATCACATGCTTTACGTTGTCATAGTTCGCTGTGCAAGTAAGTTTATGTTAACTCTACCACAGATTTTAATGTATGCATTTCATTTTGTATTCCTTGGTAGATGTTAAACGCATTCGTTTCTTTGTTTGAGTGCTTAAGGTGATACTAAGTGTTACTCCGTTTTTTTTTTCCTGTAACAGTTCTTTGACAGCCTCATTTCGTAGCAATGCACTAAAAAAGGAATCCGATTACAAAACTGAAGACGATTATTCATCTCAGCAATTTAAACCCAAACCCGGCTCCCCTTCAAAAGAAAACAGCTCGAGTTATATTCAGACACAAGAAGATATCTTCCACACCCGTCATGGGTTACTGGTGCTGCATCTTCTTGCTACACTAATGTTTGTTCCCTCCCTGATGTCTTGGTTGCAGGTATTGGATTTGCCGAATTCTTATGCCTTTTCCTCTGAGCTTCCTCAAAATTGCATCCATTTTATTTCTTTTATCATCTTGTCGGACCTTTTTCATGGTTGCAGAGAATAGGAATGCATCAGAGCTTCCCAAGATTCCTAGATTCATTCCTTTGCATTTGTTTGATTCTTCACGGTATCTATAGTTCAGAGTCATTGTTAAATTCCGAATTGCCCTTTCCACACATCACGGGAAAGGAAGTGAGACTGAATTCGATCTACCTAATTGCCGGGTTTTATTCCTATCTCTCTGGTATGGCACTGGAACCGTATAAAGTGTTGTACGCCATGGGTGCCGTTGGGATCATTTCCTTTGCATTGAGTGTCTTACAAGCATTTACAGGAGCAACTCGATTCGGAAGACGACGACATTGGCACAGACACTAAAATCGAATCCACATTTCCGATACACAATCCGGCACCGTCAAGTCATCAAAAATGGAGTTGCAGGTACATCCAAATTCCAAACCCTCCCATCACTTTTTATAAATGAGTTTTGGGACACGGGAAAAAGAAAAACTTTTTGTTGTGATATTAAAACTGCAGGGCATTTTTATTGGCGGCTGCCATGATAAGGTTATTTTTGGCATTTCAAGTTGAACAAAGAGAGGGATGAGAGTGAGTGAACATTCTAGCAATTTTTTTGCCATATTCAAATTAGTTTGTTTTGTTTTTCTTTAGGTGGTTACGACCTTCCAGATTCAATGCTTAAATTCATCACCTCATCGTATCTGTTGCAACAATAATGCTAATCGATTTAAAATTTAACCAATATGATATTTTATAGTATCGTTAAATTTTTTGTTATTTGGTAAGGGCAAGTAAATTTTTTTTGTTAGTCTAGAGTGATTATAATATAAAATTTATTCTAAAATTTTATATTAACTGAGATTGAACGTATATAATAAACACATTTGGTCGGTTGGTTAAATTCATCTTTATTTTCTCATATTCGCTTAGGTAATAAGTTTTAGACTCATTAAGAGCATTCCTTTTACTTTTTGTGTAGTCTCCCTCCGTTTTTCTCTAGGTAGGATTAAGATTAGGTTTAAAATTTATTTATTTTTTTAAAAAAGAAAGAAAGATTGAATGTATATACGCTCTATAGATATAATTGTTTGAACCTAAGATTTTTAGAGAGAATAATTTTTTTTTAATTACCGAAAGTCGTTTAATGGGATAAAGTAAAACTATTATCATTATTAATGTTATTATTATTTGATACATTAAAAAGGTTTTTTCCGTAAGCATGATTAAAAAATTTATCTTGTTCATTTATTTATTTTTGACATTATAAATAAATATCTAGAAGTCCTCGAGAAAGTAAGAATGGTACAGGAACAGGATTTATATAGCAGCCACAGCCACATCTATCATGTTTACTGATACCACGAATGCTATTGTGGCATATATAGACCATGAATATTGGTGACAGAGAGAGCTGAACCCACAAAATAGCAAGTAGCAATTGTATCATCACATTGTGGCCACCATTTAAATCCCAAACTAGGAATTGACAAGGAGGTGCTGGAAAAAATTCTTCAGAGATAACTTAGAATCTTTAACAGCGATCTATGGTTTATGAGGAATACATTTAAGCATGGCTGTTCAGAAAATACTTGGAAATCATAACAGCAATTTATGGTTTAGTAGACGGCTAGAAGCACTGTGGTTGCATATTTGTAAACTCACAACCATGCATGTATGTATGAAGCAAAACACGGAAGATGAGAACAAACTCATGTACTAACGCCAGTTGGTTCTCAGATCTGCAAATAATTTAAACTAACACTTCCATAAACTAAATCAATTTTCTAGATTTTGAGGTTCTAGATTATCAACATTTGACCATTCTTTAGCGTTCGGAAAGAATTCCACTCACAAAATTATTTACCAAATACCATGCAGACAGTAAGTTAGGAAAAGCTTGAGCAATATCTAAGGTTCTTGAAGATTCCAAAAATCTAATTGACATTGCACTAGTATGTTTCTAGGACCATCAGCGTAATGATTAACTAGATTAAAAACCTACATGAGTATAAGAAAACAAAATAAATACAATTGCCCCATATGTTTACAAACTAGAAATCTCAAATTGTTCAAAACTCAAATTAACATATGGCAATTACATTACCTGAAAGCTAGCCAGGTGTTGTCGATGCTCAGCAAGAGTTGTAGCCAATGACTCAGCGTGGCTAATTGTGACACCATCTTGTGTACTTCGTAAAATATCAGGACCCTCTGCATCATTAGCCTTTGCCTGCAAAATAATTGTAATATCCATTAAAGCATATTAGCTCCTTACTTCAGCACCAATAATTAGGGACATGCAATCTACAGTTCCTTGAAACTGTGATGCGTGAACCACAATTTAGAATTGACAAATACTTTTAAATAAATTTAGGAAGTGCAAACAGAATATTGCATTTTTTTATTACATACCATAGCCAATATGTTGCTCACATCTCCCAAAGATGGAAAGTTTTTAAGTGAAAGGATTTGCTTGTAAATAATCAAGGGTTTGTCCATAGGAATAGAAGACACCCAACACAAGTTTCATTGCCACAACTTCAATGTAAATGTTGCAAAATGTCTAACTTCCATAAAATTTACAATTCCACAACTTTAAAAAAATATCATAGCCATCTTATATGATATAGAGACATTAAACCATCCAGAGATTCAGTGTATCACTAATGACCAAGCACTAATACAATCTAAGATATACGAGTGAACAAAAACAACATAAAACAGCATACCAGCTGAAGTGACTGTTTATGAATGCGTTGTAATGCATGCGTCCAACGTCTGATAATTTCTGCTACATCAACAGTCTGGTGGACTCTTCCATTTCTATCATCCACCCGAGAAAATGTCTCTTCGTTGACCTGTGTGTTACATTCATCATTCTGTTCTTTGTTACTCAAACCCTCAGACTGAACAGATAAGACATCTGAGCAAGGAACTTGAGAACTCTGATCCATAACTGCAAGCAAAGATGATCCAGAGATGCGGTACCTGAAAAATAACATACATGAAGGAGAGCCAAAAAGTTGCATATTTACCATCCAAAATAACATATGGTGGCAAATTACCTATGCTCCCGATGGGCTATCAAATCCTCAATAGGTCCTGAAACAAGAACTTCATGCTGACCTGGAAGAATAAGTTGAAAAAAATCAAGGGTATGAAAATCAAGCACGTTAATGATGGATGCAATAAATGAAAATACTAGATTCATTTATACTTTTGCGTGATGATATAGACTCCCACAAGCGAGTGGCCTTTGAAACCAAATGAGAATTTGGACTTGAAGTAGAGACAAGATCATCCCATAGCTCCCCTTCCAACTTCACTTTGTTCCTCAAGTCATGTTTTTCCGGTTCTTGCTGCAAATAAGTCTGAGATCAAGGTTTTCCAAGGAAAATCATTCGTTTAAGATCTTAAGTCAAAGTCATCCCTCGACAGAAAGTAAAAAAGGAAAGGAAATATTATTCAATAATTTGACAAACACTCAAAAAGAGTTCAATTGAGTGATCAAATATTTATTTACTTACATCCTCCTCACAAAGACCACGAAACTCTGCAGTCATTTCATGAGACAAATTTGACCACATTGTCCGTCTCTGCACTGCTGTTTCTGCATTTTTAAAAAAAATCTTCTCCGTTCAAGAGCTATTCTGGCCTGTTTAAAAATGTATTACTCTGGCAGGTTGAACGGGGCCACGAAGAGAAGAGAGTATGAAGTAAAGAAGTTGTTCGCCTAATTTAGGGTTCGAATGACGGAAAAGTCCAACACGAGGTGTTCCGTTGGAGGCTCCGAGCCCGATTATAGACGGATCCAAACCAAGTAGCAAACAATTAGTTTACATTGCGCTTTCGAGCTCTATCTCTCTTTTCCTTCTCTCTGTCCATTGTCATCACTCCCGAAAATTTATTTTCTCGAGAAAAATATAAGCGCAAATATAGAAATGGCTGGCTTTTAAAATCGGGGTCCGATTTTTAATTTTTAGAAAGTTAGGGGGCCTTTTCTGAAAATTTGGAATGACAAAGGAAGTCAGTTTAGCCGTTTTGAACATCAGAATTTGGGAGGGAGAAAGAGAGAGAAAATTGAAAGGGATACTGTGTAGAGGTAAATTAAAAATGGAAGGATTAATGATATTTGAGATCTTCACGTTTTTTTAATAAAACAATGTGATATATGATATTATTTTTAATCAGAATTTAACTTTTATTAATAAAAATAAATATTAATCGTTATGATATAATGTAGTAATTTACGAGATTGATGTGATAGTTTTTTGTAGATGATGTCGTGATATTGATAAAATGATTAACAAGACATTCTAGTAAAAAATTAATTAGGTCTTCGAATTAAACTAAACAATCAATTAAACTCTTTTATCACGTGGTAAATGGTTTAGATCTTAAATTAATTTTCTAACACCTACATTTCACAAAATCTTTCTTCCCGTTTGGATTATTTCACCAACAAAACCAAGAAATTTAAGTGCGAGTTTACAACCTCTTCTCCGTTTTGTATAATATTATAGGTATTTTTTTGGATGACTCTAAAATATAATCGGTTAATATAAGACTATAAATGATTAAAAAAATGATTGTCATTGTAAAATTTACCAAGAGCATAACTTTCTAGAGTAATCTGAGTAACATTTTAGGTTGAAATTGAAAATATTACGTTCTCCGTAACAAAACATATAAATTACATAATTATTTCAATTATGACTTAAAAAGTAATCATCAAAATATCGTCGATTTTAACTAAAATTGTTATCAATTGTATAACCTTTTAGAATAGAAAAAAAAAATTATGTTCAAATCTATCGTAATGTAATATTATCGGTTATAACTTGTACAATTTTTTATATTCAAGAGGACAACATTTTACATTAAAACTTATCATAAATTAATCTTAAATTAAAACCCCGTACAACAGAACTATCTAACTCCTTTTTGGGATTTTTTGTTGTTGATCTGTTAAGTGTGCTTGGATCCCATGATGAAAGAATTTGATCGCAGTGTTCAATTCTTCGGTCTTCTCTCATCATTGGTTATTAACCTCCAACTCTTTATTTTGCTTTCATATGTATGTGATGTAAATGATTAAAAAAATTCTGGTAAAACAAGAAGTTTTTAATTTATTGATCGATCAATTCAGATTAGATGTTACAAATCCTTGACTTTCTTTAAAGAATCTAATGCATCCCACTAGAAAATTAATTGTTAGTACTAAGAATATTTTTAATATATATTATATTGTAATCACACCAGGCTTTCTCAATATATATATATAATACGAGCAAAGATTCTAATTGATAACTTCTTAGATGCATATAAAATCATACCATTTCCCGCATATGGCAGCTTCTTTGTGACTGCGTAATAGCATAATGGCATAATGGAAATAGCTGAAGTAAGCAGGAAAATAGAACACGATTATGTTAAGTTCGAGTGCTGAATACGAGTGTATTCGAATACTCAAGGTTTTCATATATTTACAAGGTCCTTGGAGGATCATATCCCCGTATTCATGTCCAGATATGGGTTAGAAACTGGTACTTAAAAAAGACTACGATCAAAAACATACGAACACGATCTCAAAAAAGATAAGGAATCACAGGCTTTCTATGACAACCTAAATGTTCCTTGCTGATTTCAGATAAATCACAAACATGTTATTGCAAGCAAAATATTTAATGATTCCGACATGAGTTGTGAGAGAAATAGAAATCAGCCTCCTTGTTTCAACAGGGAGAAAACAGTGTTCTTTTTTGGCAAGTAAGTTCAAGTTATAGTTTGCACCAACATGAAGATAACGATGACAACAAATTCACACTTGACATTTATGGGGTACGCAAAATTACCATCATTCAAGCAACTGTCAAGGCCTTGATGGGTTCAGAGCGAGAAGCATGTTCTGGCCACCAGGCAGGTAAGCGACATTCGGTGATCTCGCAAGAGTAGCAGCGATCTCCCTCGATGCTTCAATCCTCCTCAGCTCAATCAGCCCCATACCCGCAGTTGCAGTTGCTTCGGAAATCAACTTCGCAGCCTCACTTTCACCTTCTGCGCGGATAATAGCTGCCCTCCTCTCCTGGTCAGCTTTAGCCACGATGTACTTTGATCTCTCCGCCTCCTGTTGTGCCACCTGCTTCTGCTCCACAGCCCTTGAGAATTCCGCGCCGTATGACAAATGTGTGATAGCAACATCAGCTAGCTCGATGTTGAAGTCCCTTGCACGCTGAGTTAATGAATTACGAACCAAGGCCGACACTTGGGGACGCTCAGTGAGAAGCTGATCTGCATTGAACTGTGCAACCACGGCCTTCAAGACCTCGTTGCCAATGGAAGGGAGCACCTTCTCATCATACTCTAAACCAAGGTGTTGATAGATTTCAGGAAGTTTCTCCACCTTAGTGCAAAAATAATATCAATCAAACACTAATCTTCAAAAAACATAACTAAATCCATGGATTCATCAAGCACAATTACACAAAAAAACTAAAATATATTCAATTTTTAAACATAACTAAATCCATGGATCCATCAATTTCAATTACATTGATATAATGAACGAACCTTTTCATTTTGCAACAAACCCATTATCATAAAATCATCCGAAAACACAGAAATTCTTTGCTAATTCATCAAACAATAAACAAACCCATTTAACCTGAAAAACAAAAAAAAAGCTAAAAAAAATTACTGGATTACCTTGGGTTTAGAAAGAACTCGAAGGGTGAGATTAACCATTTGGAGATCCTTAGTTCCAGAAATAGATGAGAAAGTGTGGGGCTTCATGCGGATATCATAGATGAAAGGCTTCTGGAGCCATGGGATCAAGAAATGGGTTCCTTCATCTGCGGTTTCCTCCAATACTCCCCTGAGACGGTCAAATATCACAGCTCTTTGCCCACCGTCGACGGTGTACATGGAAGCGTTGAGGACACTGGCGGCGGCACCGAGACCGAAAGCGGCGCGTGCGAGGTTGGTCAAAAGAGAGACGGCGGCTTGGTTGCTTCCCATTTGTCTGAATTTCTTGCTTACTTTTCAGCTGGGTTTTATACTTCAATAGCGAAAAGTGTGGGTTTTATTAGGGTTTATCTAATATATTTTTAAAAAAATAATAAAAGAATAGGCTTTTTTATCAGTTTAATTTAAAAAATAAATATTTAATATATATATATATATATATATTGTTAAAACATACGTTTAATATAAGAAATCAGTAATGACGGTAATTTAATCTTTGTGCCGGTGATTTATGAAGAAGGTTCATATAGATATTAACAAGTCACTGATTGATATGATGGTAAGAGCATTACAAAATACAAATTATTTATCCCTTCATATAGTACAAGTAGTGCTAAGACTACAAAGATAATGAGTAAAACTCTTAATTTAACTCATGACCTTTTGCGTTTGGTTCACGAAATGTAAGATTATCAGTGGGAATAAAAGATTATCAGGGAATAGGATTACTGGGAATGTTACATTACTGTGTTTGGTTAGTTTGACAGAAATGTAAGATTACAGTGTTTGGTTGAAGGAATAAAAGATTACTGGAATGTATATTTTACCAAATTGTCATTGTTCTATAATTTTTAACAAGTGAAATTCTAAATATTTAAATAAAAAATATTTATATAAAAAATTTATTTGTTGATAATATATTACTTGAGTATTTAAATATATCATGTATTATTTTAATTTTAATTAATATTAAATTTTATATAATTTATGTAAAAATATATTAAAATTTTACATCAACATTTAACTAAATGTTTACATTGTGAAAATTCTTCATAGATATTCATAATAATAAAAAGATGTAAATGATTTTTGTTATCTAAATTTTTAAGTCAAGTCGAGCTCCATTTCAGAATTTTTGAGTCGAGACGAGCTCAACAATACTCGAGCTCGACTCAGTTCGTTTACACCCCTAATATTAGTTGATAATATGGAATGGGTTTTGATGAATTCGTTTAATTGGTCCATTAATTAAGTTCAACTTTTCCATGCTCGATTTTGCACCAGAGACCTTAATTTCTATAAACATTTTAACTTTGGACATCCTAAAAACTGAAATTGAGGTATATAAATAATGTATTAGTTGATAAGACAAAATGGTTTTTTATGGATTTGTTTAATCGATTCATTAAGTAAATAAACTCAACTTTCCCCTGTTCAGTTTTGCGCTAGAGACCTGATTTTTTATAGAAAAATTAACTTTGGTAACAATGGACGATGATATGATGCTTCAACAATCATTGCAGGAAAGCAGTGCTCATGACATCCCAATGATTGAAATTGAGATATGTTAGGATATGTTTTGCTTCAACATAAAAATTGTTTTGTTTTTATGATAGCACACAAGAATTTGGTGCTACGTTTTTTTCCCAGTATGCACTAATATATGCCCATTTCAGTTCCAAAATCTAATTTGTAATAATTCTTCATTGGCAGACTTGCATAACACATATGTATGGTTTCAATGCATATACTACATAACAAAGACAAGGTTTTTACTATCAATAAGTTGCGACACACATGAAAGCGATAATTGTTAACTATCAAAGACAAGGTTTTTACTACATAACAAAAACTATCAAAAGTAATTAACATATTCGAAAGCTAGCACATTACTTGCAAGTCATATACTACATAACAAAAAGAAGTATAACATTATCCATCAAAAGTTTGTACAATGTTCAGACTTACAAAAGATAATAGCCATGACATTATAAACGTAATCATATATGTTGGCTATATTATATACACAAAAAATCCTTCAAGTCAAAACATTGACATATACTTGGCTAAGCTACACAAAAAAGTTGAGACCATATTCTAAAGTCATAATCAAAAAGAGATCGACATAATTGTAGAAAGACGACAGTCAAAATGATGGTCTAAATTGACGGCATTCAACCAATTGCTTAATCACATAATCTTGTTTGAATTCTTTTGGCAAAGAAAAGAAGAAATCTGCCTTGTGCGCATCTTTGCTAATATACTCTCCTACAGTAAGCATTTCATCAGTGGACATGCCTTCAATTTTCATGATTTCAGTGAAAATCGATATTCTTCGATCATTTCCTTCTGCCTCCTTTTTCAATAAAGTAGTAATATCCTTAATTTCTTTGGCAGTTTCTCGGTATGCAACACCGAACTTACTTATCTCCTGTACAAGCTCGGTCAACCCATCATCACTTCGAGACCTTTTCTTGCTAGCTACTTTTTTCATTATAGGGGTAGAGGCAGTAGCATCAGATGTTTGGCAAGTTGAAGCACCAACATCCTCTCTTGATTCAGAATCTCTTACTCCCTCTTCTTCAAGTAATGTATCTATAAATGCATTATCTTCAACATCAATATGTTCTACTGCATAAGCTACTATCTCAGCTGTTGTTCCTGTAGCTCTTTCTTTTCCAAATATATGAACAAAGTCATCAAAGAATGGAAATGACTTGTTTCGCAATCCAGCAGCAGTTGGATGACTCTACAATATAATAAAATTGCATATTTAATAAATCTTAGAATTACCTATGTAGATAACAAAGAGTACAAAAATAAGATAAATTCAATTAAAATACTTACTCTAACCCAATCATCAAACACATCCTTTGGTGCAGTTAAACATTTTTCTTCTTCATTCCAACCGAATCCACTTTCAATATTTAACATTTCAGATAAAGCATTGTATTGTCTTTTGAGTAGCTTAACTCTAGATTCAATATGTGGATGGGCCCTAATTTGTGATGTCGGAAGCTTGATTTCTAACATCTTTTCAAGATTATATAGATAACCTGATCTAAATGTTCCATTATCAGCTTTCCAATGTGGGTCTTCAGCCAAAATGTGTAAACATTCAACAAGTGCAACATCCTCCTCTTTAGTCCATGTCCTTTTAGTTACTAAAGACTTACCCTTTCTAGATGTCGGTTTTCCCCCTTTGAGATTCCATATTTAATGTTGACATATTGCTCTTCGAAACAATCTAAGAAGATGTATATAAAAAATGTATAACATAACATAAAACATGTTATGTTATACATATTAATCATAAATGAAATTTAAAATAGTAACATAATATAAATCAAATGTAGTGAATGACATAAGTAATGAATGTCCATAACAAATAAAATTCGAATTTTATAGAAGAGAAATACATAAAATTTAATAAAGTTTATGCCATAAAATATAAAGATGTCAAATACATGAAAGTAATGACCACTAACATTAGATAAAATAGAAGGTGAAAGTTCATACATAACATAAAATAACATCTATCCTAAAGTACGTGACGCCAACCAACTAGTAAACATATCTTCTGCTAATTTGTCTCTCCACTCAGTCCAAGCACTGCTTGGCTCACAATGTCTGATCATTTCTACTTCATTAATCTCTTCAACATGCCTACTATCTTCAGTATAGTCAGATTCAATATGATCGATTGGCATCTCAGATCTTATGAAATTATGGAGAAGACAACAAGCAGAAATGAGTCTACATTGTGTTTTCACTGGATAAAAGGATTTTTCCCTTAAAATTGCCCATCTCGCTTTCAATATGCCAAAACATCTCTCAATGCAATTCCTAGCTTGAGAACGTTTCATGTTGAAATATTCTTGAGGGGTGGTAGGTTGGTGTCTTTCTCTCCAATCATTCAAGTGGTATCTTTGACCTCTATATGGTGCAAGAAATCCCTCTCCATTCGTGTATCCAGCATCACATAAGTAGTAACACCCTATATTATTTTAATTTAAAAAGTAAATTAATATACAAAAATTGTAAGAATTTTACATTCTTATATATATATATATATTAATGACCTAATAATTTACCTTGTGGAACATTTAAACCATTTCTTCTACTAATGACGTCTCTGAGTATTCTACCATCAGCTGCAGAACCTTCCCACCCAGGTAAAACATAAATGAATTGCATGTTTGGTGTGCAAACACCAAGTACATTTGTCGCAATTTCATTTTTTCTTGTTCTGTATCTAGGTTTATCGATTGCAGCTACATTGACCTTAATATATGTTTCATCTAGAGCACCCAAACATCCCTATATCCATCAAATAAAGTTAAATTACATTATTACTATCCATTTATGTATTAAGCATTACTAATTAACTTAAAAGAAAGTTCAGAATTATGATACAATACCTTAAACCATTTCCATCTATCGTCTGTTGAATTATCTTGTATCGGTTCTGGTTTTCTAAAATGGATCGGATGCAGTTTCAAGACTGAAGCTAACACTGTATGGAGAACTCTACTAATTATTTCACCAGATCTTACTGTTTGACGTTTTAAAACTCCAATCTTAATATGGTGGGATATAATATGAAGGAAAGTAATAACCATTTCTTCTATAGACATATATCGACTCTCTTTTAACCCACCTTGACTTTGTAATAGGTGACACAATTTGAGAAATGCTCTCTTATCCATTTGACAATTATCAACACTTTGTCGATCACTTTCAAATATAATTTTTATGTAAATTAAGTGATCTAATATTATGTCTATGAAGTCTTTCATGTGCATAAGTTATTTTAGGTCGATTTTTATATTTTCTAAGAATAACTGAAATAACCATAAGCATATGACACACAATCTCCATCATTTGCAGTTGTAAAATAAGAATTGTGGTGATACGCGTCTTCTTTCGCATTGGTAAACGAGCCACAACTGTTATTATGAACAAACACTTTAATATTAGAAAATAATAATATTTAACAAGAACAATTGTTTGTCATCACAATAAAAATAATTGAACACTAATTTTTTAAGCCATCTAAAGATGATCCCTTGAATTCAACATAGTATTTTTTAATCAGAGAAATCATTAAATGACAATAGAATCAATAGAAAGACGATATTTCAAGACTTTTATTTAACCTCAATTGAACCTAAACAAATAATTAAGAGGGAAAAAAAAGAATTATTCTATGATAAAGGAGATCGAAAATTTAAAACAGTGACTGTAATTAAAAATATACTTTAACATGTTATATCAGTTTTTTACGACAATAATTGTAATAATAACGAATTAAAAGTTTAGTGACTTTATTGCAAATTTCAAATATTCGGTAACGAAAATACAAATAACCTAAAAGTTTGGACTACCAATATATTTTAGCCTAATATAACAAAGAGGGTGACAACAACAAACTAGGAAGTTGAGTGAGTGCGTTGGCGTGCATAACTGAGCTAGACGTTGAGCGTGTTAATGGCACCCCCAAACCTAAAGAGACATACCAAGCAACAACAAACCTAAAGTTTTATTTGTGCCTATGATGGAGACAAAATCAGTAGAGGACCAAGTCCAAGATGTTAACACTATTTCTAAGGTTTCCATGGTTCAACAGAGTAGGAAAACTGTAAAACAGTTGCAAATTAAGGGCAAAACTGTTGATGTTGATGATAAAATTGTCACCGCTGAGCAGAAGAAAACTACTTGTGCTTCAAGTACTGCAGAAAATTTATTTATATGTAGCAGTAATGCTTATACTGTTCTTATTTACAGAACTATTCTTTTCTCACTTTAATTTGAGTATAAGGATGGGTTATTATTTTTTGAACCTTGCTTTTACTAGGTAGGATGTAACAACCCGATTTTCAAAATAATATTTAATTAAATTTGGAGGGTTTAATTGTGAAAATTTGGCGAAAATTTGGGGACTGAATTGAAAGATTTTAAAACTTGGAGCTTGTTTTAAAGTTAAAGAAAATTCAGGGACCAAGCCCTGAATTTAACCATGGAGTGTCGGCAGACAATTGTTATATGCGTGATTTCTGTTTTGAAAAACAGAAATCAATTTCACAAATCCTTCCTCACGCACACAACTTTCAAACTCGATTCCGACGCCGTCCGAATTTCGATCGTTGTTTTGAAACCACCTTTGTGTTCATCATCGAGCGAGGAGCAAACCCTTCAAATTAATTGAAGCGAAACGCGGCCAAACGTCGGGAATTTCCAGTCAAAGTAGCGACGGTTTTGTTAGCTCTATCGCCGAGAAAACCTTAAATTCACCGCTGATCATTGCTCTGTTTACGACACCTCCCGCACCATCGTGTTCCTTGTGCCGTTCCGAGTTCACCGGTGTCAACCTTGTCCGCCGTAGACGGCGGCGCGTGAGGAGGTGGTGCCGTCAAAGATTCGGCCGATTTGAAATTGAGCTCTCCGTCGTTCAAAAATTTGAACCGATCGTTGTAAGTATCTCGAAATCGCTCAAAATAATTTTTAGAAATTTTTTCTGGATTTTTAGGGCCCCGGAGGACGCCTCACGCGCCACACGCACCGCCGTAGGGCGAGTGGCTGCTGGAAACCGGTTTAACCGGTTTTCAACTGGTTCTGACCGGTTTGACCGGTTTCAACCGGTTTCAACCGGTTTGACCGGTCTGAACCGATTTGACCGGTCTGAGCCGGTTTGACCGGTCTGACCCGACCCGACCGTTGACCCGACCCGACCCGACCGTTGACCCGACCCGACCGTTGACCGTTGATCGTTGACTTTCTTTGACCAAAACTTAAAATGGCTTTGACCGAGCATTAAACGACCGTTAATATTTTCTGAGTATACCTATCCTGATAGTTTTCGACGTGCCGAATCCGTTTCTGTGGTCCGTTTTGTCAAATTCGAATCCGAAGGTCTCCAAATCTATGGTCAAAGTGGTTGACTTTGACTTTGACCAAGAATCTGAATTTCCGAAAAGTCATACTTTATATTTTTCGACGTTCTGATTCCGTTTCCGCAATCCGTTTGGCCAAATTCAGACTCGAAATACCCCAAATTGATAGTCAAACTCGAAAAATGCTTATATACTTAAGAAGACTAGCTTTGAACAATTAAATAGGATTTGGGACTGATAGATTATTATTGTTTGAAGGTACAAGAGACTCTCCGGATCGTTCGACAGCTCGACCCAGCTCTTCTAGATCAGTTAAACCACGTGTGCCAGTATTCACCCGTTCGAAAATTGTAGCAGAGCGTGGTGAAACCAGCAATCAGTAAATTTGCTATTTGAACTTATTATCGAGGTGTGTTCCCTACTTATTATTGAACTGTTTTATTGGTTTTAATATGTGGTACACCGAATTCATTGGCTATTGTTTTATGGATGCACCAATTTAATGTGACAATTTATGGAATATGGCTGCTATCTAATTTTTGTTTTGAAATGGTATATGATTACCATGTTTTTGGATTTATGGAATTTATGTCACGGTGCAATTGAATTTTGGAATTGAAATACGATGGAATAGCTCTAATCAAGCTAACTGGGCCTAATGTGACTCTTGAGGGCCCCAAGATGTTTCATTAGGTCGGCTTTCCTTTGCTGTGTGCTTAGGGTAAGCTATATGGACTTATTGACTTGGGCTTAAGGATACAAGCTTCATAGCCTATCCTTAAGTCGGCTTTATTTTTGCTATGTGCATAAAGTAAGCTATATGGAAAATACTTTTGGGAACTACTGATGGTGTACCAGAAAAGGGTTTAAACTATGATTTTCAAAAAGTTAAACTCTTTTACGAATTTGTGAGAATACTGGACTATGATTTGTACCTATTGTGATTTTATGGAAATGTTGGAACACACTGAGCCTAGCTCACCTTTTGAAAATGTTTTCCCCTTTCAGATATTGTTGGTTAGATACCTTGGTTCGAGCACTTGGAGGATCAACATATCTCTTGAAGTAAATCAAATTGTAATGTTTTTATCTGGCAAGTTGACTTTATTTTGGTGACATGGACCTTATTTTAAAATATCGGATTTTATAATGATAACTCTTTTGCTAATACTGCTCGGTTTATTGTGATATTGAATTTGAAGACAAGTTTTAAATTAAATTATTATTTATTGGTACTATATTTACGAGTTGGATTTTGATAGTATAATTTGTTTATAATTTCATGTTATTTATAATGTGATTTTATATTGATAGAATAACGGTTTCGAAAAATGTCTTTAATAATCATAATGTGATCCACTAGACTTAGTCGAAACGCATAGGCCGGGTCTAGGGGGTTACATTTATTGGTATCAGAGCTTTTGGTTTTTAACCCTCGGACTGTGTATGAGTCTACATTGAAAATACGGTTTTGAAATATTTTACAAAACGAGTTACTAAGGCCATGTCACAAAGTTATTAAGATTTTAACTATGTTTGAGACTCCAAGTGCTTATCTAACCCTAAGTTTTATCTTCTGTAGTAAACTTGAGATCCATCAAAATGAGTGCTAGACGTAGTCGTCGAACTAGCCGTGGACGAGGTCGAGTGGCTAGATTCGCAGATCCGATCGATGAGATACGGGTAGATCCCCCATCTCCGATAGGTGATCATGCTCCTACGACCCCAACGGATCTGCCTCCTGCCGCTGGAATTGGCATGACTACACCGATAATAGGAGCGACCGATATTGATTCAGAGTCTGCCGGAGTTGCTTTGGATGAGAATTTTGGTAGACAATTTCTGCAGTTAATACAGGGAGCAGTCAGAGCTACTGGTGTTGTATCTGAGGTTCCTATTTCGCAGACTTTGATTGCCAATGGAGTTAGAACTTTTGGGGGACAGATAGGTGGAGCTCCTACTGAAGCTGAGGATTGGCTCCAGGATACAGAGAGACGCATGGATCAGTTGGGTTTGGACTCAACTAAGAGATATTAGGGTGCTGTGGCGATGTTAGATGGCAATGCCTACACTTGGTGGGAGTCAGTGACCAGTAGTGTTCCTACCGATCGTTTGGCCTGGAATTTCTTTAAGGATTGCTTTCGGAGCCATTTTCTGGGAGAGCGCTACTTAGCTCAGAGACGACAACAGTTTCAAGACCTGGTTCAGGGAGACATGACTGTTTCTGAATATGAGATCGAGTTCCTGAAGTTGCTGAAGTATAGATTCAGTATAGTACCTATAGAGAGAGATCGATGTCGTAAA